GGCACATTTTTTTGAATTTTTTTCCTTTTCAACGGCGTTTTTTGGGAATTTCGGATTTTTTTCGAATTTTTTCGCAATAATATTCTGAAAATAGATAAATTTTAACACATTTTGATGCAATAAAAAAAAATTAACCGAGAGTTCCCCCCCCTTTAAAAATTTTTTCGGTTTTCCATTCCGTCGGGAACTGTGCACCGATCTGATTTGCTGTCACTGCATCCGCATTTGTTGGCTTCATCGGCAACTCATCAGTGTTCGATGAATCGCTGCGCTCTAGTTTCTCTGACCATACTGATTCGAGCATCCGTGAATCTGAATGTGGAAATATGAAGTTTTATATCGATTTCATATGGCAAAAACAGTCTGTATTGTAACACGTTCGTCAGGTATACTGACTTTTTTTTGTCATAAGATGTGCTACGTTGGGGACATCATAAGAAACACTTACTATGCCTCTCCGCATGTATCTCTGCCATTTCCACATTCGTATCTTTTGCCTCTAGAGTAGTGTTTGAAGCCTTAATCACTCTGCCGTTCTCCACGTTTTCAAGCTTTGCCTCTGGCTCAGTGACCGATATTGCTTGCGCGGGTTGTTCTCCATCTGCCTCCTGACCATCATAGTTATGGTGAATGAAGACGTCCCGAGCGGTTCCTCATTTCGAATTCGACGTTGTTCGAGAACTGTAATTCGAATTTATGTTAACGGCTGCTGTTCTAAGCTTGATAATTTCTCACCTTTTCTTTTTAGGTGTCGTTGGTAAAATTTCTTAATGAGCAGGGCTCTTTCTCTTTTTCGCAGTTTCGGCCTTTTCTTTGCTTCATTGCCACTGTTCTCTGCCATTGTCTTCTCTGCCACTACTCCTGAGCTCTTCCGTAGAGCTTTTCCTAGGTGTCGAAGACGTGTCATTCGCTCTCTTGCTGAAAAAACCGACAAATAATACTTTCCGATACTCTCATAGGTTTTCAACAATTAATTAACGAATTCCCAAACACATGGGTTGTGACCGAACGACTACTAGAAGATAATCACGAAAGAGAACACAACCGTGAGTCATGCATAGCAGACATGGGCGGAATAAAAATTTTGAAAATCCGGAATAAGGTATAAGGAAGAAGGAATGAAATTTAAAAATCAGGAATAAGGAATAAGGAATAATCGTAATGTGGGGACTGGGCGGGCGGGACGTAACACACACGTAGACTGGAGGCCCGATGGGCGGCGCTTCCCCCTCTCTCCCCTCTTTCGTGGCGGGATCCCCGGAGCGCGCAAAGGTCTGTACCTTTAAACACGATCAACAAAACAACAACAGAAATTGGCCTATTTAGAGAACACCAGCTAATCCCAGAGAAAACAAACAATTCTCCTCTCCACTGCGTGTCATGGAGAAATTGTTTTCTCTAGTCCTACGCTGAAATATAAGACTACAAACGAAAATTATGGATGATACAGGTTTATTTATGATGGATATGGTGTGTAGAATGCTAGAACCAGAAAAGCCTTGGGGTTCAGTGGGAAAAGTCTATTAATGCTATTAAGAATTGTGATCTACAAAACTCTGAATTCATGATTCCCCTTTACTAGATCCTACGCCTGGGACTATAATACGCGTATTAATTTAAAAAACTCTAAGGTCTCTTATTTCTCTAATGAAATTTCCGTTCTGGTCAACCAAAGCTAAATAGGACGGGTGTGTCTTCCACAACGGTGTCGCTAAAATTCCCCTGCACCTATTCCTTCTAGCTACTTGAATCAATTTTGGCACCAAAACAGGCGGAGGTACCCACCAAGTAAGGGACTTTGCTGCACACGTGAAATGGTCAAAAGCGTCGGTTCCGCTGGAGGTGGGCTCGGGATATCTGGAAAAGTAAACACTGTGTTTAGCATTTCTCTCTGAAGCGAACAGATCGCATTTTACGTGACCCCATCTCTTCTGGGCCCATTCAAACGCCCAGTTTTGTACTCCCCAGTCATCTGTATCAAACTCTCTGCTTGCTGCATCAGCTTCTGTGTTTTCCTCGCGGGGAATCCACAAGAACCTTGCCGGCCCAATTTGCTCTACACTGTCCCATACTCTCTCCGCTACCTTATGCAACTCTAGTTTCATCGAACCTTTCTTCAGTACTGACACTGCCGCCTGACTATCCGAGTGTATAGAAATCGCGCCTCTTATCTGCTCTCTCAGTGTTCTTGTCGCGAACTCCACCGCCCTCAGCTCTCTCAAAGCGCTAGATTCCTTTCGGAAACTCACATCACCTATCTCTGACGCTTGCCAAACTGTCTCTTTTCTGCTATTTTTAAGAACTGCTCCCATTCCTTCTGCTGAAGCATCAGTGTATAGGTACCAAGTAGGATCAAATTGTTCTTCGTTTATATTTCTCACTAAGTCTCCCTTCTTTAGCTTTCTCTCCCAGAATTCAACTTCAAACAACTCACTCTGAGACATTGACACTTGAAGGTGTTGCTTTTTTGGGTTGCCGGAAGTCACCCTCGCCACTGTGGCCGCCAGATGTCGTTGCCGCTGCACTGACTCACATTCTGCAACAATAGACATTGAAGAAATGAAACCGCATAACTTTTGACGATCCAGGATCGTTGGCGCTTTGCTCTTTTTCATCTTATCTAACTGATTTCCCAGGGAAACTTCTCTAGATTCTGTCAATCTGATTGACTTAGTGACCAGGTCACATTTAATACCTAACCAAGTAAACTGTTCACTCGGTGTCCAGAACGATTTTTCTTCTTCTACTGTTACACCTGCTGCTGCCAGCCCCTCTCTTACTAATCTCACCGCTTCTACCGCTTCTTCCCTCGTCTTCGCTAATATTAACCCGTCATCAATATATAGGAAAATTTTTACCCCCTTTTCTCTCCATCTGCCCACTAAAGGCCTAAAAACCTTGGTAAAAAGCCATGGAGCTGAGCTCAGCCCAAACGGCAGTGCTGTAAACTTATAAAAAGGAGCTAGTGGGGGATCTGACAGTGAAAAAGCTAAAAGGTCAGAAGAGGGATCGGCGATTTTGATGTGATGATACCCACTCTTAAAATCGAAAGTCGCAGCATAATTCGCTTTTTCTAGGAATGACCATACCGCTCTCCAATCTTCTAATCGAAACCTAGGTGTCTCAATTCCCTTGTTTAGCGCTGTTAAGTCTAGAATCAATCTTAACTTCTTCCCATTATCCGCTACTTGAAGTGGACTACATACTATCGGATTGATTGTTTCCACCACTACTCCTGCTTCCAATAATTTCCCCACTTCTTCATGAACGAAATCTAACAATCTGTTCGACATTCTTCTTATCCCCAGAGGATGTGGTAATTTAAAATTCTCAATTAATATAATCTCAAAACCTCTTTCTACTACTTCTAAAATCCACGGAGTAACTGGAATACTAGCCCAAAATTTGGCTTTACTAGACGTTAAATTTGGATTAACCATACCTTGGTTTCGCACATTGATTGGCGTAATGTCCTCCTTCTCCACAATTGTAACAGTGGATAACCGCTCGTTTTGTAGGATGAGCTCCCAAACCGTCTGCTTCGTGCATTCTTCGGAAGGGTCTTGGCTGGTAATGGTGTTGATGGGCTGCGAATTGCCGGACTTCAGGGCGCCGTCCCCCGAAGTCCGAATATCGAAACAACTGCCTCGATGGGCCTGGTCTTCTCGAAGCACTCGGTTCTTCTCTAGCGAGAATCGACGCCAAGCCAAAAGCTTCGTGTCACTTGAATCCGATGTTCCCGTCAATTCCGAAATTGCACGCATACTTTCGACCTGTTTGAGAGCTGCTGGATTTCTGTCTAGCAACACAATCTCCTGATTTCGTTTCCGGAGCATCGCTGAAGCCTTGTCAATCGCTTCCTCGAAACTTCCTTTCCTCTTAGCTTCCGCTAACATGTTGATGACTTGTACGTTGAAATCCGCCTGATATTGATATCCTTTTTGCTTCAACGTTGGCGCCTTCTCCTCCTGGAATCCTTGCATCCGTGACAGGAGATTAATCCCGAACAGCTTGCTCTCTACGCTTTCAGCTACCTTGGTAGCAAAACTATCCACAGCGAACTCGTTTGGATCCTGCGCAGGCCTTTCTCCAGAATCCTCGATCATCTTTTGATCCAATTTCGCACAAACTTGACACAAAAATCGCTACGAAAACGACTCACGCACCACTACTTAACACACACGTAGACTGGAGGCCCGATGGGCGGCGCTTCCCCCTCTCTCCCCTCTTTCGTGGTGGAATCCCCGGAGCGCTCAAAGGTCTGTACCTTTAAACGCGATCAACAAAACAACAACAGAAATTGGCCTATTTAGAGAACACCAGCTAATCCCAGAGAAAACAAACAAAACCTCACTCGCTTATTTATCGATGATATTTTTCGAATTTTTCTTTAAAAAACCATAAAAACCTTTTCTTCGCGACAAAATCATTGAAAGCATTCGTCACATGCTACTTTGATTTGAATTGATTACTGTAGTTTTGATATTTTTCAACTAATTTTCCACCGATTTTTCAGCAATATCAAAGCGGTAAATTCATAGAATTATCGCTCTGAATGTCAGTCGGTAATGAGAGTTTTCCGGAAAATAGCATGAAAAATTGCTAAATGCGGCATTTTTTTGCTCTTTTTGCTGTGAAATAAACTTGTAAATCATCACATCAAGAAATTTCTATAATTTCCGAAAGAAAAAGAGTTTGTGATCAGACATGTCTTCGATAACGCTCGTTGGATGGGAGATGATTCAGATCCGACAGAAATGAGATATAACATTCCCTGGTAAACCTAAAAAATCAATTTTTTCAATAAAATCCTAAAATCCAGGCACATTGAGGCGTATCAAAAGCGAAATTACACTGATATTTATCTGTTCTGTGAACTGGAAAACGAACCGCCGGCTGGTCGATGCGGATTACGAAATGAAATTCGTGGGAAAACGAACGAAGAGTTCCGGAGTTAAAGCATCATTTCGGTTCGATGCAGGTCAAAACTTTGTATGGTTCATGACCGATTGGAATCAATATAAAAGATACGTTATCAATAAGAAGCTGAAAGTCGAGTTTCGTGTCAAAATCAATAAAAACGAAGGATTAGACCATTCAATAGCGTCTCAGGACAATTCTGCAGTCTTGGTTGTCGGAAAGAAACAATTCAAAGTTGATAAAAAGGTAAAATTATTAATTTTTTTGAATATTTTTTCCCCAAGCTCCGCCCACTTTTATTTCCAGCTCCTTGCCGATAACTGCACTTATTTCAACACTCTATTCTTCAAAAGTTCCGATGACTGGGGAAAATCAGAAATCGAAGTTGAGGATTGTGAAAATCCAAACAAATTTAAGATTTTTCTAGAAACTCTCAAAGGCGAAAAAGAAATTGATAGTATTTTAAAGCTGAATTTTTTAAATTTCGAAAAATGTTTTCGGAAAAATCAATAAATGGAGTTCTCGAGCTGTCTGCCAAGTTCGGATCCAATTCGATGTTGACCAAATGCGATGAGTTTCTGATGGAGAAATCCGAAAAATCGATGAAACTCAAATTCAATCTTGCCATCGAGCACAAATTGAATAAGCTCAAGAAAAAGTGCATGTCTGATATCAAAACGAAGAAAGATTTGGAAGGCCATTTCTATTAATTGATTTTTTATCGATTTAATCCATTGTTTTAACAAAAGCTGTTTGTTAAAAATGACCAAATTAATAATTTCAGAAAATAATCAGCAGAAAATAATGAAAGTCAGTGTTATTATTATTTAAAAAAAACAAAAAGGTTATTGAAAATCACAAAATGACCTAAAAATCTGAAATCTAGGTCATGACCTAAAAATTGAAATCTAGGTCATGACTTAAAAATTAAAATCCAGTTCATGACCTAAAAATTCATTTTTGACATGGTTTTAAGGAGTCTGAATCCTCATTTTCCTATTTATTTTGCATAAAAATTGTTTTCCAAAAAAAAAGTTCTCGAATCGTCCTAAAGTCTGGTACAGTACTCGATTTCCGACAGACATGTTATATAATCCAGCCAGTCAAGCCATCGGAGATAACTGTTACGGATAGAGTACTGAAAATTTAAGATTATACAAAGCAATTCTAGAGCTTCAGTTTAGTAGTTGGAAATTTTTTCTAGCTACTATAATTTTTGAGATATGCGCCTTTAGAAGTTGACACACTTCTACGCCCGGCCACTGGCGGCGGGTGCGCCAACTTCATAGGCTCATATCTCAAAAACCAGAGTAGCTAGAAGAAATTTGTTAACTAGTAAAATGTGCAAAATTGAATTTCACACATTTTGTAGTTTCAATAAATTGTCTCGGTACCATAGTTTTTGAGATATGCGCTTTTAAAGTTGGCGCGTCTCCTCTCTTCTTTCAGGCGCCCGACAGGGATTTTTTTGAACTACGGAAAAGTAGATCACAGAGTTGAGGACCAAGTAGTTGTGTACACTTGGCATGGGAAAAAAGGCAGCTTTGTGATGGTTGACAACTTGAGAGAATCGGATTACTGTAGATTCAAGTAATTGATTTTTTTTTCAAACAATAATCATAAATAAGATGATTTAGTGGAACCATCGACCCAGATTATACAAAAAAAGTTCGTAAATTCATGTGTTTCAATTATTCACAAGTGGTTCCACCGAGATCGCGAATGCTTGTTGGAAATATTTCCTATCGTCAAGAAAAGGGGCAGTGGAGGGGTGGAATAGCTATTACGGTAATTAACAAGTCTAAAACTTCATTTTTGTAATTGACAACTTTTTGATAGCTACTGTAGTTTTGGATATGCGTCTTCAAAGTTAGCAGACCTAAAAACCTGGGTAAAAGGTACTTAAGACGCATAACTTGAAAAATAGAATATTTAGAGAACAAAGAAAATTTACAAAAATGTGTGAAATTCAATTTTGCACATTTTACTAGTTGATACCTTTTTTCTACCTACCGTATTTTTTAAAATATGCGCTTTTAATCTTGGCGCTCCTCCCTGTCGGGCGCCTGAAAGAAGAGAGGAGGCGCGCCAACTTTAAAAGCGCATATCTCAAAAACTATGGTACCGAGACAATTTATTGAAACTACAAAATGTGTGAAATTCAATTTTGCACATTTTACTAGTTAACAAATTTCTTCTAGCTACTCTGGTTTTTGAGATATGAGCCTATGAAGTTGGCGCACCCGCCGCCAGTGGCCGGGCGTAGAAGTGTGTCAACTTCTAAAGGCGCATATCTCAAAAATTATAGTAGCTAGAAAAAATTGCCAACTACTAAACTGAAGCTCTAGAATTGCTTTGTATAATCTTAAATTTTCAGTACTCTATCCGTAACAGTTATCTCCGATGGCTTGACTGGCTGGATTATATAACATGTCTGTCGGAAATCGAGTACTGTACCAGACTTTAGGACGATTCGAGAACTTTTTTTTTTGGAAAACAATTTTTATGCCTCTAGAGGGGTCCATTCTTTAAAGGCGTATATCTCAAAAACTACGGTAGATAGAAAAATTTGTCAACTGTAAAATTGAAGCTCTCTATTGGTTTCCTATTTTCCATTTATTATTTTTACCTCAAGTTCTTCACAATCTCCAGACATTCTTCATCACTTTTCTGAAAAACTTCCTCCTTGGTTGGATAGAACTCTATAAGAAAGGACATGATTTTGGGAGCAAGAACTACCCAAAAACTAGTTGGCAGATCTAAAAAAAATAGATCAAGGAAAGCCCGCGAAAGTTCACGAGATACAAAATTTTCATACGGAAAAAATTACTGAACAATGATGACAATCCAAAAATGGTTTAAAAATCTAGGTCATGACCTAAAAATTGGAATCTAAGCCATGACCTAAAAATGGAATCTAGTCCATGACCTAAAAATCGAAATCTAGGTCATGGCCTAAAAATCGAAATTTAGGTCATGACCTAAAAATGGAAATTTAGGCCATGACCTGAAAATTAGAATCTTGGGCAGGAACTAAAAATCGAAATCTAGGTAATTTTTTGTGTAATTCTGTTCCCAATTTTTGATTTCACCTGAACATATTCTCCTCCCACACAAAACTAAAAAAACGGGGAAATCGAATGAAAAGAAGCGAGTAAGAAGGTCCCATAAAAATGAAACGGCTTCCCCCTTTTCTCAATTTTTTGAGAGAAGGGGGAATCGTCGAACCCATTCTCATAACCATTCCCTTCTCTATTGTTCAGTTATGTTTCTGATTATTTTTTTCACGGATCGGGGAAGACGTCAAGAGGTAGGAGGAGAAGAGTTATGCGTATGTGAATGTTGTTCGGTTTGAAGAAATCTGGAATGAGTTTAAGTACCGGAGAGAGAGAGAGAAAATCAGAAATCTGAAAAAAACATCTTGGTACTTTGAACCTTCTAGAAAGATCAAATATTAATGTCCTTGTCTGAATTTCTGAATTTTTGAATTTTTGAATTTTTGAGAATTAGGATTTTTGAATTTTCGAAATTTAGAATTTTAGATTTTTTTAATTTTTGAAACTTCTAAATTTTTGAATTTTTGAATTTTAGAATTTTGAAATTTAAAAAATTTTTAAATTTAGAATTTTTGAATTTTTGAAAATTTTTGAATTTTTGAAATTTTTGAAGTTTTTGAAATTTTGAAAATTTTCGAATTTCATAAACTTGTAAAGTCAACTTTTTGACCAGTGGGTACCACCACGAAAACTACAGTAATCCAAAGTTGTGCTCAAAACATGTCATGTTTATACTCGTTTTGAAGCACTCAACAAGCCAATTCCAAACATTAAAAGAGTTTGAAGGCTTAGTAAAATTCGGGAAAGTTAATTCGGGAAAGTTTTAAACGAAAAATGAAAAAAAAAATCGTTAAAAAAAATAGAAAACCTGGAAAAATGAAAAATTCAAAACTTCAGAATTTCAGAATCTGAAAATTGGAAATTTGGGATTCCGCAATCTCTGAGAAAATAACCAATTTTTTTCTGGAAATTCAAATCTTCCGAAAAAACTTTAATGATGGAAAAATTCGAATAGAATCGAAAACCGAACGAGCAAACAGGGCAGCTGATATTTCTTTTTTTTTCAGTGTCATGAAATAAAATAAAATGAAAAAACGAAGGAGAAAAAAGTAGACGACGTGCTGAAAAACAAATGAAAACGAAAATCGACTTTTAATCTCCCAGAATTTCGTTTTTTTTTGAATTTTTTTTTGTTTTCTTTTTCGGATTTTCCGGTTGAATTCTATTCCAATTTGAGTCCTCAAACTAGAATCTTCTAGAATTTGCCGATGAATTCAACTGGAATGATTTTATCAATTTTTTTCATACTGATGATTTCGTCTTCCCGGAATCCTATTGGTTATCACGGATTTTAGACTTTTCGAATTTCCTAGAATTTTTTTTAAATTTTGAAAGTTATCTTGAAATCCCCAAAACTCACCAGATTATTCGCAAATTCTAAACATTCTAAAAAAATCGGCATTTTTCGAGTAGAGAGCTTCAAAATAAGCTCAAACACGAGTATGCTCCTTTAAATACAAAATTTCACCGTGAAGGCGCAAAGGGGGTCAAAAAATCAAATTGAAGGAAAGTAGGTCACAACTATACTCATTTTGAAGATCTTATCGAGCTAAATTCATATATCTAAAATTATATCAAAAATTGTAAAAAATGTCAAAGTTACGGAATGGACAAATTTGTCGCTAATTTTCACTCAAATATTTTCGAATTACAACTCGTGCATTTTTCAATCTTTTTTCATGGAACTTAAAAATTTGAATTCTTTGTGTTTAAAACTTTAAAAGAAGTATAAACACGGCTATGTTCCTTTAAATTTGGAATTTCAGACTTTAAAGGCGCATAGGGGTGAAAAAAATCAAATTCAAGGAAAGTAGGTCATGATTATACTCATTTTAAAGGTGGGGGGACAGGAGATTTTTCGTAGTTTTTTTGTAGCTAGAGTATGCATTCTACCGTCACGGTGTACAACGCTTAATGTCACTCTGCGTACAGCTGTCGTCCTCGCCTTTATGTATGCAATCGGGCGCGCGCTTTCTCTTTGCCCGCGTGGCTCAGTCGGTAGCGGCGCCGCACCCTCAATCATCGCCCTCACAAGTTCAACTCCTCGAGAGGCATCTTTGAACGGAATTTCGAGAACATTATCTTTTTCATGTCCCCCCACCTTTAAAGCTCTCAAAACAATACATTTAAATGTATGATTCTTGATCTGAAAAACTCAAAATTGCGCTTCAGAAGACATCAGAATTCGAGTTTTTGGAGCTTGTAACTTGGCTCTAGATGGACTAAAATATTTCAAAATTATAAAATTCAGTAGGAAATTTAACACACTAAATGTTACGACAAATTGGGTACAGATGCAGATATAACAATGACCTACTTTCTTTAAATTTGATTTTGGACCTCCCCCCCCCCCTCTATGCGCCTTAAAAGTCTTAGGCTCTAAATTTAAAGGAGCACGCCTACTGTAACCATACACTCTGAAATGTTTTTGAAAACTACAGTAATCCAAATTGCTCAGCTCCTTACCCTTTTTGCCCTCTCTCCACTTTGTTTTGTTCTTTTTCTGTCTTCCCCAATTTCCATTTTCTTCTTCTTTTCTTCTCCTCTCAATCCAATTATAACCACCCCAGTTTTCCCATTTAGAAGCTCTCATCTTTTTCTTCTACTCCCAAAAGAACATGCACTTACATCAGTTAAAACGAGTCCAAAATGGAGAAGAAGAGAAATAGAAATGGAAAGAAAAACAACAAGACATTTCCAACAACATCTTCTTCTTCTTCTTCACTCCGAAATTGGTTTCCTGTGTTGCTCCAGAAGGTGTTGGGGAGTGAAGAAGAAGAAGCCGACGCCTTCTTCTTCTTTCCTCTGGAGCATACAGCATGTTTGCTCATAATAATAGGCGCCCTACCCTTCTTCTTCTTCTTCTTCTTCTTTTTCTTCTCCAGAAATGAGTCGCTGAAGAAGAAGACGCCGGAGAAGAAGAAAAAAGTGGGCGGAGTTTCGAAGGGGTGGAGCCTCCGTTTTTCTTTTCTTAGAGGTCTTTTTTCCGCTGCTCCTTCTTCTTCTTCTTCTTCTTTCTTCTTCTTCTTCCTACTATCTATCAGATCTTCTTCTTCTTCTTCCCGACTTTTCACCACCTTTCCATCCTTTTGTTTGAAAAAATTGGCGCAAAAAAGGTGGAAAATTCCTTTGCCATAAAAGTCTACGAATTTTTGATTCGATTTGAAAAGAGGCGTTGATCCGTAAAAGTGGGAGAGGTGATGTGCTCCAGAATCGTAAATTCTGAATCCCCACCACTTCTTTTTTCCCTATTTAATGAGTTTGAATGTAATTCGAGCACACACTTTAATAGTGTGAAATGATACCCCTGCTCCCTACTAGACATTTCAAATTTGATGATCCCCTGTCAGAAGGGGGTGTCATTTTAATTTATCTATTAGTTTTATGCACAAAAAAAAGAAACTGGCGCGCAAGGGAATTGAACTCCTGACCTCTTGAATGTCGATCATGTCTGTTACCCACTACACCATGGTGACGCATTGTGAGTGTGATCCAACAAGTGGTATAAGAGGCTCTTCTTATACCAACTCGTTTGATCGCGCCTCTTTGCACCCATATGGCCTAGTGGATAACAGAAATGTCTGAGGATCAGAGGCTCGCGAGTTCGATTCTTTTTGGCTCCAAATTCTTTTGATTTCTTTGTTCCTCTAGGAAATCTAACTTCCTTCGTGATTGAGCAATTACTTCACATGATTCTCGACATTTGAAACTTTAAAATGTTTTAAAAATGGTCTAAACCCCAAAATTATTGATTCCGATTCAGTGCTCGATGTGCGGTGAGTGGTAAGATGGACTGGATCGCAAAATGGCGGTGGGAAGTGTACTTCTGGCACTTTGTATGCTCATTCTATCGATCATCACTGTCGTCGGAAATCTTGCGGTTCTACTCTCGTACTATCTGGATAAAAACATTCGACAACCCACCAACTATTTCATTTTCTCATTGGCCATCTCCGATTTGGTGAGTCTTTTTATTATTTTTTCGCTTCATCGTCAAACGACAAAATTTTTTTCGTCGTTTTTCGCTGAAAAGTCCTGATTTGAATCGGAAATTCGAATTAGATCAATGAGAGGAGTGGTCCAGAGGTGTTTGGAGATTTTCGGGAGAGCAATTAGAATAAGGCCGAACCTTTTGGAGACATGGATGTCTAGGAATTACGGGGAGAAAATTTGGTTTTTGTTAAAACGGCAAAACACTGGGGCTACTGGAAACCAGGAATATGCGAAATGGAATTTTGAAAAACCTCAAAATTTTCAAAAATTGCCGAAAACCTAGGCAGAAATTGAGGGTTAAAACTTAAGCGACATTTTCTGATAAATTAATTTTCGCCTTTTTTGTTCGTTTTGTCAGTGTTATTCAGCTTTTCATTCGATTTTCTTCGAAAACGAACAAAAATCGATAAAAATAGGCAAAACATTTTCAGAACGGACTACTGTAGTTTTAAAGGCGCATGTTGTAAATAGCGAAACATTTTAACAAAAATTGGGGAGATTTTCGTTTTATATTGAATTTTTGCCTATTTTTCTCCAGTTTTCTACAACTTTCATAGGGAAAAAAAGAGAAAAATTGCCGAAAAATCGAGAAAAATAAACAAAAAATAAAGTAATCAGTTACTGTGTTTTTAAAGGCGCATGTAATAAAACACAGTGAAAATTCAATTTTTTTTTTGGAAAAATCGACAATTCTCATCGTTTTCTCCATATTTTCCAACTTTTTCATTAAATTTTTCTGCGGTAAAAATTGCCGAAAACTTGAGAAAAATAGGCAAAAATAAAAGTAAAAGATTACTATATTTTCAAAAGCGCATGACAAAAAGTTTGCTTCTTTTTTGAGAGAAAAAGTTTTTAGTGTTTTTAAAAAGGGGGAATTTCGATTTCTAAATTTCCGAAAATTGGAAACAATCGCTTTTTAAGGAACTTCGGCCTTCCGGAAACTATAAGCTGTATTTTTCGAATTTCGCCTATTTTTGGTTTATTTCCGGGAAGCCGTGTAAGTGCGCTCCAATGCGAATACCGTAATCCTACAGTAAAATTAGCGTTGATCTCGAAGCGAAAGTTTCCAATTGAACTGCAACATTTGACAATTCTATACCAATTTTTTTTCTTGACCCCGAAATCCGATATCTGACCTCTACAACCCATATATAGTCATAAGAACATCAATATCCGCCCTCAAAAAAGTTTGACGTTTTTTCCTTGGCTTGTGAAGGAGAAGATGTGTTTTTGGGTGATGTCTCTCGAGACGTTTCGGCCAAAAGTGGTGAAATGACATGCAGAAAAAAGAAAAACGGAGCAACTAGTCCTCCTAGGCCTTCAGAAATACACACTAACTTCTTCTTCTTTTTCTAACGTCTTCTTCTTCTTCTTCTCCAGATGCTCCCCCTTCCCTTTCCACAACCATAATCTTATGTCAGTAGGGCAACGTTTTCGACGTCTTCAGAAGTCGGGTTCTCGGCACGCAGGGTCTGTGCTCTTCCTAACCTAATTTTTTGAACATTCTCCGAAACGGGATGGATATAAGAGGGTGGAGAGAAATAGACGGACTGAATAAAACATTTTTAATGGTCCTGAAGGAAAAGAAGAAGATGAATGAAGGGGAATCGACACAATTAGAAATAGATATTGTAGAAAAAAGTCTGGAAGGTACTTTTAACATCGATCCAATTTATCTCTGTTCCTGTGGAAGATATCAAAAAATGATCGACTAACAAAATGCTTTTGATGATATAATAAGCATTTTATTAGTTTATCTTGTATAGAAATCGAGATAAATTGAGTCAAAGTTAAGAGGTCGGCAGCCGACCGCGTAGCTCAGCCCACAAGCGCTTTTTTAACTTTGACCCAGTTTATCTCGTGTTTATCTCGGTTCCTGTAAAAGATATCAGTAAGTTGTCAACTGATAAAATGTCTTTGATAATAAAATAATCATTTTGTTAATTGACCATTTTTTGTTACCTTGTATAGGAATCAAGATAAATTGAGTCAAAGTTGAGTGGTCGGCAGCCGACCGTGTAGCTCAGCAAGGGCCGATCTTCCAACTTTGACCGAATTTATCTCGGTTTCTGTGAGAGATATCAAAAATGTGTCAACTAGTAAAATGTTTATCAAATTATCATTAACATGTTTTTAGTTGGTCACTTTTTTATACCTTTTACAGGAACCAAAATAAATTGGCTCAAAGTTAGGTGGTCTGTTGCCGACCGCGTTGCTCAGCCGACAAGGGTCGACCTGTCAGAGTGGCGTGATTTCTCAAAAACCGTGTTAGTTATCAAAAAGCTATTCACTACTAAAATAATCATAAAATTTCTCTTATTTAGTCTGTTGACACCTTGTTGGTATTTTTCTAGTTTTTGAGATATGGTCCATGCAAGCAAACTTTCTGCTGTGAAACATTAACCCAATTTATTTCAATTCCGGTGAAAGATATCAGAAAGTGGTCAACGAGCAAAATATTGATATCGTAAAGGCAAACATTTTGTTAGTTGACCATCTTTTGATATCTCTTACAGGAACCGAGATAAAATGAGTAAAAGTTAAAAGCGAGGAGACGCAGAGAAATCAGACATTCTCGTTTCTCTGCGTCTCCTCTCTATCTCCGGATGTTTCTATTTCTGTCTCCAACGTTCCAATGCTCATCGACCACCTTTCCACCTTCACAACACCTTCTTTTCTCAACTGTTTCCTCTTCCGGTATCCTAGAGGAAGAATATGTCTCAAAGATCCCAGATCTTTTGGTTTTTCTCTTCTGAAATGAGATATGGTACTTGGGATCGTGGGAGATTAGATTCCAAAATGAAACTGATGTCTTAAAAGGGACATTGAGAAATAATTTTCTCGAAATTTCGTTCATTAAAGGCTCCCCCTCGAGGAGTTGAACTTGTGGACCCCCACTGGAGGTGCCGCGCCGCTACCAGCTCAGCTATGCTGCCTCTTTAAACTTGAATAACTCGCTTGGTTGAATTTTTACAAAGAACTTGTCAACTACAAAAATGAAGCTCTATTTTTGTTTAATATACTCTGAAATTTTCAGACAATTTGAAAAAGTTCGAAGTACTTTTGTAGGGCCTCAAAAATGACTATTTTTCCATGGTGTCTCTGAAAGAATATTTCTAGTCAACAATTTTTCAGATTAGTACAGTTTCTCTGCGTCTCCCAATTTGTTCTAAAAACCAAATCCTTTATAATACATGTGTATACAAATATTCTGAAGATGTGCTTCTTCTTCTCCTCAAGAGAGAAAAAAGTGGTTGGGATTCGTTCCGTTCTTCAGTGCCTCTTGGCACCCCCTCTCCTCTTTTTCTCCCCTTCCAGTTGAGCCCCATATGATGATTTATGGGTTATGCACAGTAGTTTGTAGAAGAAGAAGAAGAAGGGACGAATGAATTCGGCGAAAAAAGCCTCTCTTCCGATTTAGGTCCTGATTTCCGGTCGGGAAGAGAGAAGTGAACTGATGTATTTCATGTGTGGAGGGAAAACGAGAAGTGGAACAGATTTTTTTTGAAGAGAAGAAGTGACGTGGCATGAGAAAAAATCGAAAATTCAGGTGGACCTGAAAAAAAACAGGGATCAGGTTTCTAGCTTGGAATCGAGATCTAGGACTACAGTTAGAGCCGAATGCTCCAGAAGATATGTGAACTTTGAGCTAAATTATCTCGTCTCCTTCAAAAGATATCAAAAATTTGTCAACTAATAAAATGTTTATCATAGAATTATCAACATTTAGTCAATTTTCAATTTTTTGATATCTTCCTTAGGAGGCGAGATAATTGAGCTCAAAGTTGACGGTTAAGGTGAGCTTCTATTTAAGAAGATATGCTATCTGTTCTTTGAGCTCAATTATCTTGATTTCTATCAGAGATATCAAAAATATGTCGACTGATGAAATATTTTTCATAAAATTGTCAACATTTTATCAATTGACAAATTTTGATATCCCTTACAGTAATCAAGTTAATTGAGCTCGAAGTAAAAGTATGGGGTGGCGGCAGTTGTGGTGATTGAAAAATGTTCCGTCAGTTTCTTTTTTTTCAAAACTACTGTAAAACCAAATATTTTTGTAAATTTGACCCAAAAATTTGATTTATGTTAAGCTCAAAAACAGAAGAGACGCAGAGAAAAACGACACGCTAGCTTCTCTGCGTCTCTTCATTGCGCAGCTTTTGGCGTCAAAAAACCCCGAGCTGTCTACGTTGATCTAATTTGTCTTGTTTGCTGTTAAAGATATCGAAAAACGGTCAACTGATAAAATAATACGTTGAGCGGAAAGTTTTTATAATTTTTAGTCTTTTTTCGAAACAAAATTTATTCAAAGAAAGCGAAATTGAATGTGTGATATATTCACCAAAGGTATCAATGACTTCTTGCCAACGCAATCGAAGTTGAGCGATTTCATTACCATAGAACTCGGGAGAATGGGAAGCGAAAACGTCGTCCAACCACTTTTTAACATCCTTTCTATCATGAAACTTCTGCCTACCAAGAAGATTCTGCAGGGAACGGAACAAAATATATTCGGATAGAGCCAGGTCTGGTGAATACGGTGAATGACAAAAGACATTGGCTCCGAGCATCTGGAGCCTAGAAGAAGTCTTCTGAAGATAATGCCTTCATTGTCCCACCAAATGGGCAACATAACTTTTTCTTGTGAAACTCTCCTTTGGTGTCCGTTTAGGCGGTTTTCTCGGCCGGGACCCATCGTCTTTTTCTACTCGTCACCAGTGATAATATTCTCAACCCAATTGGTTCTACGTTTCATAGTAAGCCGAGAATGTGCCATGTCGCAAAGCAATGGTTTTGTGAATCCGTCAAAAGGTGTCGAGCGAGTTGACCAAACTTTCGCACTCTTCCAGATTCATGAGGACGATCAATTATGATTCTTTGAGGACGGTTATGACCTGGTGTAAGCTCGCGTGACGTTACTCTTGGTTGTTCTTCCAGCGCGCTAGACATATCCTCGTTGAGATCAACACGTGGTCGACCAGATCTTTGAGATCGTAGTTCTCAAAGACTTTTCGCTCAACCCAATACTTGTCATAAAATCAGAAATATTTTGTCAGTTGACAACTTTTTGATATCTCTCACAGGAAACGAGATAAATTTGATCAAAGTTAGAGTACCCTTCTATTAGATTATTAAGGTCACAGGTTGTGTTTTTTATTCAAGTTTGCCACCTTGAGAGCGTTCAAAGTTAGGATCGTTAGTCAAGAAAAAGAGCAGAGATGCCAGACAATATGATTTCTCTGCGTCTCTCATGCAAACCTGAAATAATCCCATTCTTGTCTCAATTCCCCTTCAGGGCAACTCTCTGATCTCATTACCTCAAGATTTCTTTATTCTTCCATCTTCAGAAGACGTGCCACGTCATCAGTCGTCGTGTTGATTTCAAAAAGCGATAAAGATTCCTTCTTCTCACCCGAATCCGGTCGGGCGGCACTAACGTGTTGTTCTAGGAGATACAACATGCTCACACATAGACCAATCACCCGAGATATATTCGCACTGATGAGCACGCAGCGATACGGATAAAATATTGGATAGAAGGCGCTGAAAAAAGACGGGATCTGGAAATTTCTTAAATTTTTTCAAATTTAAAAGTCTCGATTTTTCCTTTTGGCCGGCTAAGCCATCGATCAGCTCCTCATCGCGTCCTCTTCTTGTACGCCAAATGCCTCAACAGCGGTTGTTGCATTGTTTAGCGTAGGCGGGAAGACTACTGTTTGCCGTTCAAGAGGTCAGAGGTTCAATTCCTCTGTGGTGATATCTCTTTTTTAATTTGTTTTTAAGTATGTAAGAATGACAGTAACCCGGTTAGAATCTTGTTCACATCGATTCTGTAGTTTCTCTAGTTTGGATTTGACAACTAGACATCTCCTTCTCTCTATCCGTTCCTGAAAAGTGAGGGGTCATCTGAATTCCTTTTTCGAGTACTTAACATCTTCTGAAGACGTCGTCGTCGTTTGACTATATGGGACAGAAGCAGGAACAACAGAGCAAATGAAATATGCGCAGAAAGAGAGAGAGAGAGAG